ATTCTAATTACTAAGGCCCCCATATTAATAGGGTTCAGGGAGTTTGTGGTTTAGGGTCTAAAGGATGCGGGATGTGTTGGTGTAAGGCCTCTTGGAGTGTTTAGGAAGCCCAGCTCCACCATGACTGCCCTCTGCCTCGTTAGCCAATAGGAGAACTTTAGACTTTTTGGCCTTGTATATGTATATATATATATATATATATATTAATTATATATATATATGTATATTTGGTCTATCCTAAAAAGTTTGAGCTTTTTTGGGCCTGGTTGTTGAAGAAGAGAGTCTGCCTCCGGAACCCCCGGACCTTTAACACCACAAACCTTGACCTGACGCTTTAGTGAACTTTAGTGCTCTTGCGAATCACTTGAAGTGTTTCTTTTCATAAGACTCTAGGGCTTTTGCAAAATTAAAACAGGTTTTACATATGGTTACGTTCTAAGGTTTCGTATAAGGAAACCGAGCCTAAGCCCAAACAGAACCCACCCAAAACCGCAAAAGACCTAGACCCTTGGATTTACTTAGGGTTTACGGGTTGAGGCCTTTATGGTCGTAGAGTTTTTGATTTAGGGTATTAGGGGTCTAGTGTGCTTAGAGTTAAGTTAAGGGGCGGGCAAAGGTGGCAACCTCCGCGATACCTGGGGAGCCCGGCTGAAAACTCTTTGAGGCGCCGTACATCCCCACAGGATGGATCTTTAGGGTTTAGGGGTTTAGGGTTAGGGTTTAGGGTTTAGGGATCTTTCTCTAACTCTCGGGGGGGGACGCTTTGGGATTTAGGGTTTAGGGCTGAGGGTTTCGGGTTTGGGGTTGAGGGTTTAGGGTTCGGGCCTTTGTGTGTGGGTTATTACCCCAAGCGTCAGTAAAAGGACGCAACACTTGGAGAACTGGTTTAGGATAGTAGGAGCGTGGGCTAGTACTGGGGAAGTAGTAGAAGCTTATCACTTGTTCGCTTAGGGTCATGGTCGGGTTGTTATTGTGTAGGAGCGCGATTAGAGGACCCTCAATTGCCTGAAACGCCGACAAGGCCGTGAGGCTTCGGATTTCACGGTTTGGGGTTTAGCACTTCGGGTTTATAAGGCTTGGGGTTTATAGGGTTTACGGTTTAGGGTTTAGGGCTTGTAGGGTTTAGGGTTAGGGTTAGGTGCTGGATAGTTCGAGGCAGGATCTTGGAGTTGTGGGCTTCCTGTCCCTTCCCTTTGCCATGAAGGGGCAGCTCCAAGGCAGCCAGTGTACCTGTTGAGGGTTGCGGGGGTTTAGGGGTTGAGGGTTTAGGGTTCGGGTTTTCGGGTTTAGGTCTTAGGGTTTNNGGGTTTAGGGTTTTGGGTTTTCTGAAATTCTGAAACCCGAATCCCAATTCCGGGTTGTTGTAGGGTTTACCTTTCGATGCCACAACCTTGTCTGGTCGGTTGGCAGGTCTTGATTGGTTTTCCACGATACCTATCAACCCATTAGCACCCAGTAAATATAGCAGAGCTGAAACCAACTAGGATTTATCGTCTACTTTGGAACGGTAGCCGAGAAGCTTGAGCCTCAACTACAGGCCCGAATCTGAATCCTAAACCCTAAACCCC